TATGTATGTATGTATGTATGTATATATACATATGTATATATAGACACACACACACACATATATGTTGGACATAACTATCAACCACTTTTGATGTGGAAAAAAGAAGTCTAGAAGCAACAGGTAAGGCAAATATTTTAAAGGGCCTATGCCTAAATTAGTAGCTATGACAGTTTGGGCACAAATGAAGAAAGGCCTCAGACTTTCTATTACACACATATGAGTTCTATCCTAGATAGAACCAACTTCCTAATGAAACTTGTCTTGTCTACGTTCTCTGCATTTCTTTGAATTTCATTTACATCATAATTATTCTTAATCTTTTCTCCCAGATTTCCCTTTCCCCTTACTCTCCTTTTCAAATTTGAATACAATCCTCTAGAGATGGCCATCATGGCATTAAGAAAGCAGAAGGGAAGAGAAAGCATCTGTAGTCTTCTAGGTGAAATTACAGTTCTCCCTCAGCAGCTGAGCTGAATGACAATACCTCTGTACTGCTCTATCAATAGCCTGACCACACTACTGAGCTGGCCTGAGGGTGATACCTTGCTCTTTTCCGTCTCTCATCCTCTACTTTTCCCCTTGGCAGAGGGTACTGTGAGGAAGGTGAGGGGAATTAGCTCCCTCTTTAAACATAAAGTTGGTCAAATGCAGTATTTTTTCAAGTATATAGCTTTAATATGTTCTTTTCAGCTTTTTATCTTTTAATCTTCCTTTTTATGGCAATACTAGGATCTGAACTCAGAGTCTCATGCTTCACAAGCAAGTACCTTATTACTTAAACCAATTAATTGATTGGTCCTTTTTGTAGTCGTTATTTTCAAGACAGGGTCTCACTTCATGGTTGGTTGGCCTGTGATCCTCCTATTTGTGCTTCTCTTTGTTTCTGGGATGCGAGGCATGTGGCACTGTGCCCAGCCATTGCTTGAGACAGAACCTGGTAAACTTTTTTGTCCAAGCTAGTCTTGAGCCACAATCCTTTGATCTCTACTTTTCAAGTAGCTAGAACTGTAGGAATGAGTGACTTGCCCAGAACATTTTAGCGTTTTTGTAAATTGGGGCCTTTTTTGAACTTGGGGCCTTATCTTCTTGCTTACCTTTTTTGCCTGGCTGGTGCTCTATCACTTGAATCATGCCTACAGTTCAGCTTCTTTTGCTGGTTAATTGGACACAGAGTTTCCAACCATAATTCTAAAAATCTCAGCCTCCTGAGTAACTAAGCTTATAGACTTGAACTACCAACACCCAGGTCACTTTTTTTTTTTTTTTTTTCTCATGTAAGGGGTAGGTTTATTCAGTAGACCTGCTGGGACCAGGCAAGGTTGGCACTCCACGTGGCTGGGAAAGGCCTGGGAAAGAGACAGAGTTGGGAAAGAGAGAGAAAAGAGCTAGAAAAGAACAGAGAGAGAGCATCTGGGAAAGGTGGGAAAGAGAGAGCTAGGAAAGAGAAGAGAGCTGGGAAAGAGAAGAGAAGGAAAGAGCTAGAAAAGAGCAGAGAAAGAGAGAGAGAGAGAGCAGAGAGACCCAGGTCACTTTTTGCCTTTCTAATGTCAGTCAGTTTTGTCCTCATAAAAAAAGAACTAAGGAAGTTGGGCACCAGTGGCTCATGCCTATAGTCCTAGCTACTCAGGAGGCTGAGATCTAAGGATCAAGGCTCAAAGCCAGCCCAGCAGGAAAGTCTGTGAGACCAATAAACTACTCAGAAAAAGCCAGAAGTGGCACTGTGGCTCAAGTGGTAGAGTGCTAGCCTTGAGTAAAAGAAGCTTAGGGACAGAACCCAGGCCCTGAGTTCAAGCTCAGGAACTGGCAAAAAAAGAAAAAGAAAAGAAAAGAAGTGGGAGACTAAGAAAAGTTTTTAAGATCTCCAAAATGATGCATACTCTGAGTGAAGAGTCTCCAATATAAGGTAAAAAATATATATAGGTAAAAAAAAAAGCCCATTTACCTTTAAATCCGGCTGCTTCAGCTTGTTTATACATCCCAAGAAAAAAGTAGGTGCAGGCTAGGTTCACCCAGACTTCAGGGTTACAATTTTCCTCCTTCGTTACATTTTCATATTCCTGAAATATATAGTAAGGGTGATCTGCGGCAGTGAAGCAGTTGATGGAGGGGATTTCTTACTGAGACCACAGGGCAACCTCAGGTGTAGGAAATCCTACAAGCCCAGAAGCTCCCTGCTCCAGGCAGTGCTGTTCTCCTCCATCCTCTAACATGATTTCCCTACATGGTTTGCAATTGTATGAGCTAACTAATTTCAGAAATGAAAACAAAACAGAACACCAACAAGCAATATCCTATGTATCTTAAAAAAGACTTAACAACAAACACATACAGGGCTGGGAATGTGGCTGAGGGTAGAGAATTTGCAGAGCATGCATGAAGCCCTGGGTTCGATTCCTTATAAACAGAAAAAGCTGGACTTAGCGCTGTGGCTCAAGTGGTAGAGTGCTAGCCTTGAGCAAAAAAGAAGTTCAGAGACAGTGCCAGGCCCTGAGTTCAAGCCCCAGGACTGGCAAAAAAAAAATACACACACACACACAGACTTGATTCATCTTAAACCCTATAATAAATCCTATAACTTAGGTGTGTGTGTGTGTCTGTGTGTGTGTGTGTGCAAGCACGTGCGCGTGCGCATGCTCGCACACATGTACCTGCCAGTACTGAGCCACTTGAACTCAGGGTCATGTGCTCTCTCATGGCTCTCACTCAAAATTGGTGCTTTACCACTGCTCCACTTCTGGCTTTTTGCTGATTAAGTGGAGGTCAGAGTTTCACAGACTTTCCTACCTGAGCTAGCTACAAACCATAATCCTCAGATCTGAGTTTCCCGAGCTAGGAAAGTCGTGAGTCAACAATGCTTAGCTAATACCCTAGAACTTTAATACACTGTAAATTTCAATTCATTCTGACCTTGGTGATTTTTGTGGATTTGGCCTTACATTCAAAAAGGTTGTGTTTTCCTGCCAAGGGCACGTCTAAGATTCACTGTCAGTCACATTTTTTTGTACTCCTACTTTTTATCAGTCTTTCTCAGGTGCCTCTCTTGCTTTTTCTTACTGTATTTGGACTACCCTCTCTCTCCTCTACCTTCCCCACTAGAAGCCACTCTTCTATCCTTTTCCTATTCCTTCAGCAAGTTTTTCTATTCTTCATCTCACCTCATTACTTGGTCTTGAATATTTTGAGTTTTTATGTGTGTCTGTCCTAGAACTTGAACTCAGGGCATGGGCACTGTCCCTAAACTTTTTTTGCTCAAAGATAGAGCTCTATCACTTGAGCCACAGCTCCATTTAAAGAGTTTTTGGTAGCTAAGTGGACATGAGTCTTATAAGCTTTCTTTTTTTCTTTTCTTTTTTTTTTTTTATCGGTCATGGGGCTTGAACTCTGGGCCTGGGCGCTGTCCCTCAGCTCTTCAGCTCAAGGTGAGCGCTCTACCACTTGAGCTACAGTGCCACTTCCAGTTTTCTGGTGGTTTATTGGAGATAGGAGTCTCACAGTCTCTCCTGCCCGGGCTGGCTTTGAACCGCGATCCTCAGATCTCAGCCTCCTGAGTAGCTAGGATTACAGGCGTGAGCCACCAGCTATATTTATGTAGCAAAGGCTGGCATCAAACTCACAATCTTCCTGCCTCAACCTCCCAAGTGCTGAAAGATTATGTCTTGGAAGTAAGACTATGTAGGAGACTAGATGCTATAATCCCAGGCCATGGGTTCAATACTAATGCTAATATGATATACATTCTCATTAGTAAAAGTAAAAAATAAACCAGATACAGCCCGGAACATATAGAGAGAATATCTCTGAATCAGTACATTAACAAAGTGTCAGTGTTCTTTTCCATTAACAAAGAAGTGGGATGGGATGTTTTTAATGTTACTTTTTAATGTTACTTCTTTCTGCTTTGTTTGGATTTTACCAAGTCATACTGTTGTTATACACAGTGTAATACCATTTCCAAAGGCTCCTGTTGGATGGTGGTGGTTGTTTTTTACTTACCTCCAGAGCCCTCTTGTAGTCCCCCAGGTGAAAGGCACAGTAGCCAATCCACAGATTAGTATCTTGTTCTTGCTCTCCAGCATGGCGTTTGAACTTCAGGTTAGAAATTCATAGAGGAAAAAAAAGAAAATCATGAAAACTTTGAGTAGTAAAACTTCAAAGTAAAAACATTCTGTGTTATGGTATTGATGAATATTCAACATGGAATGTAACAGAAGTAGGGCAATATGCAGTTTTATTAAGTCCATAACTACAGGACTTAGCACAATTATTTTTCAATTGTCACATAGGTTCACATACCTCCCAATTGCTTTTCTGCAGTTACAGATGTCTTACTCCAGCAAGTATTTAAGTTATATAATGATTCTGGATGACAGGTAAGGAATGGAAAACCTATTTTAATTTTTTTTGGGGGGTGTGGGTCAGTCGTGGGGCTTGAACTTAGGGCCTAGGCACTGTCCCTCAGCTTTTCAGCTCAAGGTGAGCACTCTACCATTTAAGCCACAGTGCCACTTCCAGTTTTCTGGTGGTTTATTGAAGATTAGAGTCTCACAGACTTTCCTGCCTGCGTTGGCTTTAAATCGCGATCCTCAGATCTCAGCCTCTTGAGTAGCTGGAATTACAAGCATGAGCCACTGGCACATGGCCCTATGTAAAATTTTGAAAACCAAAAAACTAAAGGTTAGAGAGGCTGAGCACTGAAGTCAAGGCTACACAGCAATGTGTTTGAAAATAAAGACTTCAAGTGATGTCTGCCTCCAAACCAACCTCCTGCATTTAGCTCCACACTTCTATCCCATGCCATTAGCATACATATATATTTATTGATAGCTTATAACCTGGGCTGGGAAGGTGGCTCAGTGGTAGAGGGTTTGCTTGCATGCCTGAGGCCCTGGGTTCGATTCCTCAGCACCACATAAGCAAAAAGAAAAAAGCCGGAAATGGCGCTGTGGCTCAAGTGGTAGAACGCTAGCCTTGAGGTGAAGAGCTGAGGGATAGCGCCCAGGCCTAGAGTCAGGCCCCATGACCAGACCCCCCCCCAAAAAAAATGGCTTATAACCTTCGTTTGAGGAAAATCCATTCAATTGTTCTATTACCCAGGCCAGATCTTCAAGAGTTAAGAATATGCAAAAGAATGGCCTTATTTATGCAATATGGGAGCAAATATTTATGAATACCTCAGCCAACAAAAGAAGAATCTTATTACAGAGGAAAGGACTGAGACTTTGAAGAGTGATTCTGAATTGCCATGACAAAGTGACTTGTTTTTTTACTGAATGGGGTGATAAATCAATAATTAGCCAACAGGTGTTCACAGAGTATCATCACAGAGTTGTAGCCATGGCAAGACAAAAACAACCCTTTAATATTATGTTGTCTCTTCTTAGTTATTAAATTTTTTTTTTTGTCAGTCGTGGCGCCTGAACTCTGGGCCTGGACGCTATCCCTCAGCGCTTCAGCTCAAGGCTAGCCCTCTACCACTGGAGCCACAGCGCCATTTCCGGCTTTTTCTGCTAATGTATGCTGAGGAATCGAACCCAGGGCCTCATGCATGCAAGGCACCTTCCCAGCCCCTCAGTTATTATTGATAGGCTCACTGTCATATGGCTACACAGTAGTGCTTTTCCAGAAATGTAATAAAATGTAACATAACACAACCAGACCCTGGTGCAAACACTTCCACTTCAGTGTATTCTGCACTCTTCTCTAACACATGTATTCCACAAAGCAGCTCTGAAAAATACAGTTTCCTTAGACTATATACACTAGTAGTACTTAGACTACTTATCTAAGGTACAGATTAAAAGAATGCAGTCAGTCCTAAAGAATCTGAATTACAAGCTGGGTGCTGGGGGTTCAAGCCTATAATTCTAGCTAACCTGAAAGTTAGATCTGAGGATAATAGCTTGAAGTTAGCCTGGGGCAGGAAAGTCCAAGAGACTCTTATCTCCAATTAACCACAAAAAAGTCAGAAGTAGAGGCAGGTGTGGCTCAAGAGGCAGAGCACTGGGGCTGGGAAGGTGGCTCAATGGAAGAGTGCTTGCTTCACATGCATGAGGCCCTGAGTTTCATTCCTCAGCACCACATAAACAGAAAAAGCCAGAAGTAGTAGGGCATTAGCTTTCAGCTGAAGAGCTGAGAGACAGTGCCCAGGCACAGAGTTCAAGCCCCAAACTGACAAAAAAAGAAAAAGGAAAAAAAGAAAAAAAAAAAAGAGGCAGAGCATAACTCTTAAGTGAAAAAGCTTAAAAGATAATGTTCAGCCAGGCACCAGTGGCTCACGCCTGTAATCCTAGCTACTGAGGAGGCTGAGATCTGAGGATCACGGTTCAAAGCCAGCCAGGGCAGGAAAGTCTGTGAGACTCTTATCTCCAATTAACCACTAGAAAACCAGAAGTGGCGCTGTGGATCAAGTGGTAGAGCACTCGCCTTGAGCTGAAGAGCTGAGGGACAGCGCTTAGGTCCAGAGTTCAAGCCCCATGACCGACCAAA